TATATTTGCTATTTTTAAACGAAGAAACGAAACTAAAACTGGGACATATTTATAAAATATAGTTACATATATCTTTATATTATTTATCTCTTGTCAATAAAATATAAATTATTTTTTTCATAATGTAAAATTTTCATTTTATTTGTATGTGCGCTTAAATTTGTTAACATAAATATTGTTAAAATAAATTAACGTGAAAAATACAACGCATTTATTATCAAAAGTAATATTTAAAAAATTTTAAATTCTAAATGCAAACTGGAAGATATCTAACTGTTTCACATACTGTGAATACAAAACTACAGCTTAAATAAATTTTAGAATATCAAAGAATATCTGATACTTAAAGGAATCTCTGAAAATAAAGACGAATTTAATTATCTTAATACAATTGTGAAAGGAGCTTAACAATAATCCGATGAATCAATCGCGATCTTATTATCTGCGGCTACATTGCGACTCGCCACAATGATAATGCTACAGAATTAATACCCGCTGATCACAATACTGATCAGATTGATTTATAAAATATTTCTGAGGAGGATTTTTTGATGGGTATATTTTTAGAAATCTATTTTTAAGACTTCTCTCTGGACGCTGAGCTCTTTCTATTTTTAAATCGTCTAGACTTCAGGAGTCTATTTTCTCCAGTGTACTATTATTTCCGGCATTAGAAGAATTTCCAGGAATTTTCTACGAAATTGGCTTACAAGCTGAGTAAACGAAACAGAAACAAATATCACCAAAATGAACCTAAGATGAGACCAGACTTGCCAAAAAAAAAAAAAAAACTAATTTTCTGATCATTTTGTTTTACTAAACATCGTAATGATGATTCACAATAATGTTGAAGCATCAATGATTATTATCAGCTAAAAATTCTTTACCTTCTACTTATCCATGCGCACGTATGCTACAACAATGCTAATGTTAGCAAACATTTCCTCGTTGCAGATATTACAATTCGCAGCTGACGTAAGCATCGTCTTTTTAATAATTATAAATAGACGATTATTTGTGTTAAACAAATTAAGGCACAACTTTTACGAATTCGTATTTTTATACGAGTTAATGTACGATCGAGACACGATTCTAGAAAGGTGATCGGGGACTTTTATGCAATACGTGTTTAAGATAGAATAAATTAATGTCACATAATGTCGTGAGTGCAATCAATAACATGTTTTCAAAATAAAAGTTGTCACTATAGCCGGTAGTTGTTTTTATTCAAACTCGAACAAAGTTGCTACGCAAATGAAACGCGACGATTTTAACTTTTGCAGTTAATAAACTTTTAACAAACTAATGCTTTGACTTTCACTTTTGCTTAGACGACCTAAAACCTCAACTGTAACTGCAACGCTCCAAACGAAAATCGCGTATAAATCAAACAAAAACGAAAGAATTAGCAGACTTGGAAAGAATAGCTTCCTCATCTTTTAGCATATGTTTTTTTCTAAACATCGCTGTTAATGTTGATTACGTCAAACATCGATTATTATTATTGACAGTTAAATAGATCTTTATCTTCTAAGCTTCTAGCCATCATCGCGGCAACAAATTTCTCAAGTTTTCCTCGACTCCTTTATAATTTTCCATATTTATAGCAATTCCGCGGAAACACGATATCGTAAAAAAAGAGCTCCCCATTATTATTGCCTGTTTATAAAAGTGTACCATATTTACAAGCCAATGATGTTTTCTCGACTGCCTGTTCAACGGTTGCCAGACACGTGTATACATATACAAAGTGTGCATCATTCTTATCTCGATTGCGCAACACTAACGTCGATCGTATTCCGCTTCCCTTGTTTTTTCGCGACGCTCGTTTCTCGCGTTTCCGACGTTTATTCCTCGTCACGCTCATTCCTACGAATGGCAGGCACTTTGCATTCGCACTCCACTGCGCACAGACAGCGATACGGCTTGCCTTTTAGCAAGTTTGCGTTTTAGCGATGTTGAGCGCAAGTCATACGTATAAATTACTCGTATCCCTTCTTCACTATTTCAATTAAACTTTCGACTTAAATTCGCCTGATCACATTGAACTTATTCCATTCGTTCCTACAATCGAGATATCTATGTAGAAGAACGATATATATTTGGGATATTACTGTTTTTTTACCGAAGATTTGTGATATGCACATATATATTTATATAGAATATTAACACCGAGACAATTTTTAAACACAAATTGAAATTATAGGTTAAATAATAATTAAGCAATCATGTAAAATTTTTTTGGGCGTTTTCACGAAATAATAAATGTGAAGAAGCACCAGTAATAATCATTATGGTTAAAACATTTTCAAATAAAAAGGACAGATGAATTAATTTAAAATATATATGCGCGCTAAATGAATATCAATTGTAGACTTATGCAAATTAAAGTAGATAAAGTTAATGTATGATAATTGCTAATGTTTTGATAAAAATGTTTTAATGAATATACGTATACATATATATTTCGTAATGCGATGCATCGGTGGAGTCGCAGGTTAGAGCACGAAACCGGCAGATCGATTACACGGTTGAACCGCAATCAGCGAATTTCTTCATAACGCTTACGTAGAATTGTGAACGTTCGTCGTTAGTCACGGCACAATCTGTGCCTTGTCACCAATGTATTTTCGTATCTGCGTGACGCAATAGTTTGACACAATGCGGTAATACAAATTTCCTGTTAACCATCAAACAATCCAAAATTGCCGTGTTTCCTAGGAAACGCCTGCATCAGTATATTGTACGATGAATTATGTGCACAAGTGTAATGAAGATCAACAATAAACTGTGTCAGCGTTATATCTCTCACAACCCAACTATGTGTCGTGTTTCAATCGTTGATGTTATAAAAACTCTTAAATATTTGTATTAAAAAAAAAAATCAAATAAATTACTTTGAAATATTATAAAACACGAGACTATTAAATTTAGGCGCAAGTTTGGAAAAAATATTGTTTTTTCTCGTAGTGAGAGGCCAACTTTGGAGGTACATAACCCGCGGTATTTTCCAATCGGAGGGATTCCGCGGTAAACAACGAGTTTTTTTTACGCAAATAATAGATAACACGCGTCTCGATTTTGCTGGCGGATATTTCTCGTTTACGCGTCCACTGTTAAACGCGTTAATTTGTTTTCTCGATGAATAACTTAGCGCGCGTTGCCAATGATACGGAAGGTTGGAAACGACGGAATCGGGAAATAATTGGAAGATTACAGTGATTTGGCGTAAACACGCCTAATGCGGAGACAAACAGGTAAATGTCATTGTCGTCGATAATTCATGCTTCCTACTATATATATGAAATACACTCCGACGAAGGTGATCATTATGATCTCCCTTCAGAGAATCGGATTATACGCCATCGATCTTCCAGTTTTTGTTTCATTTGTACGTTCAACCTCTGTACTTTGCGTATGGCTTCCTCTCAGCATTAAGCCGGTATTACACTAGTCGCATGATAAATTTATAGTCCCCATTAATTATACGATAGAGTCTATCGTATAACTCGATGTTTTTTTTAAACCTGTACATAAATTTATAACTTTATAAACGAAACGTTCAAATTGACCTTTACTATAATGCCGTGGTATTAAGAAAAATTCCGAATTAGAAGCAATTGAAAATACAGGATTTCTCGCAAAATAACATTCTCGCAATTACAAATAAATAACAAAACTTCGTTCTTCGGACAACTTTAAGATCTCAGACACGAGTTTTACCTTAAGAGAACTTTAAGACTTGGTAACCGAGATACCGCAAATTGCCCGCGGGCAATCAGTTGGTCATCACTGCGATATAGATGACTTTGAAAGCTTAGGAATCTTTTAGCAGCTTTTACAAACTTTATTCAACAGCTAATTAACAGTTTGAATATTGACAGCATTAATTCCTATAAAATTATCTCTTTAACATTGCGTGACAATTTATAAGTAATAAAAAAGTCACTAGAGATTAAATTAATAACAAATATGTATTTTAAAATTAAAAAATAAAATAAATAAATAAAAAAATAAATAAAAAACGAACCGCACATATTTTGTGTCAAAGCAAAAGAGACTTTCTTTTACCAAAGTGACAGGAGGTTTACAGAACAGAAATTGTAATATTTTTTTATGTACAGGCGTTCGCAAAGTAAATTGTTTGCTTTTAAAACAGCGCACATAAAAATAGTAGATGGTATGTTTGCATACAAAACGCGATCCACCGGCGATCCGGTAATCGAATAGCAGCTCCGAATATTCCACGGGCATTCATTAAAGACACATCATGAAGTGTATTATACGCGGTGAAAGAAGGCTGCGAGTTAAGTCTCGTGTAGTCGCGGTCGCACGTATTCGATTCGTGTAAAACTCGAGTTTCGACCTCATAAAGAGAAGAGACTTTATATAGGGTGTTTCACGACGTGCCCAGCAAGCTTCAACATAGTAACGACAGCAACGTAGCAACGACGCAATTCTTAATTCAACGTAGAACTTGATGTAATTTCTTAATTTCTTTGTTCAACATCTTACAATTAATTGGCCATAGGCAACTTTTAGATAATTTAGATTTAGATTTAGAAGAAAGTAAGTAAAATAGCAAAACATTAATACGAGAATACGTCAAAAAGTAAAAAAACATTTACGGGACAAAATGTAGGTCAAAATGACCCACATTTCAAGTAGGTCATTTTAAAGAACTTTTTCCATCAAAAAAATTCCTTCACTTTTTTCACTTTTCCTTACATATAATAATAAATTATATAAATAATAATAAATTTAAAAAAATATTAACACAACAGCACTGCAATAATTAAGTCATTCTTTTTTTTACACATACTAGGAATTTTCTTCTGGAATACGGTGACTTTCGAACACCCTATGTAAACTTTCTGTTCATTTCCTCTAATAAGCAAGGAGATAATCAAGATACTCGTCTTCAAAGAGGCGACACGGCTCATTGGATTCGAAAGGGTTTCACCGCAAAAGGGTGTGTGGAAATGTTCGTGAGTACTTACGTGGACCGTAGATACAGCGTCGTTCCTTTGGCTAAAAGTGAAACTAGCCGATGTCGTCGGTGGCACGTCGATAATACAATCACTAGAGCACCGCTACCGCCGTGTCCCACATTACTTGCCATGCCGATAGTCCCGAAATCACTGCGCAAATGAAGCAAGAAAAAAGGAGCGTAAAAGAATCCGTTCAATCGGCGTGTAATGTAACAGATATATCTGGGGATAGTAACGTCTTACGCAAATATATGGACATCATTATGGGCTCGTTGCGCGTTTTTAGAACGTCGTTTGACGTTCGCCGCGCTCGAGCGACTTCCTAGAATACGAATCAACGAAATTTGTTTACGCAGCTCGCGGAGTTATGACTTAATAACGAGCGCTTGCGAAACGCGTCGACCAGACTTCGGCGGGAGAAGGTCCGTGTTGTTATTCAATCCTTTCGCTAAAGTAGTTATCAATGAGCAATGATACGCTGAGTCGGAGATTTGTGTGTGTGTGTGTGTGTGTGTGTGTGTGTGTGTGTGTGTCTGTGTGTGTGTATATACATGTGAGTACGCGTGAGAAAACCTTTTGACGGCAAACTACGGAACAAGTTTATGTCGTAATCAGTATCTTGATGAATCCTGCTTCGCTGGTTCAATTAAGTAAAATCTAATTTTTCCTTCCATGAACTATTCACATATGTGTGATTAATGAATGTTGCAATTTGTTCACGTACAAAACAACGTTACATGCACGAGAAACGAAAGCAAATAGTGACAAGTAGATTAATAACGAAATAAATTGGCGCACTACTCGATATCTTAAGATTTCTCCGTCCGATATATGATCGAATAGAATCTACTTTATAGAATCACGCTGTTTTCAAGTCTCTTGCGTATTTGACAGAAAGTAGGTCAGCTATCATGTATTTAAAGAAACGTCAAAGATCTTATCTCCGTGACAACGTCGCTTAAGTTTCCAAGTTAAATTGATCGGGAAATTTAACATTCGCGTTCTAAATTTAAAATTTTGTCGTGTCATGATGTATTAGAATTTTGTTTGCGGCAAATATTTATAAATTTAAAAAAATACACATAAAAAACCGTCTATATTATTAATTCATGACGGACGAATAGTGTTTATCAGATCAATCCAGGCAAAAGTGAAATCGTATGAAAAAGTGACGGAGAAAATACGAAAATTTTTGGAATTTTTCAAAAATTTTGAAAGTTCGTACACGTCGTGCATATTCGTGATGTTAAAAACATTTATTCAAAGTCACATATCGCCTTTATTGGAAATGTAATCGTGTTTAATTTAACATTTTGCGAGAATGCGAAGAATGCGAGAATCCGAATGTAAAGCGCGTATCTTTAATTTCCTATTTGTTTTTATTCTTGCAACCTTCAATCATTCAGCACGATTGAATTTAATTGAAGATGATTGATAGTATCTATGAGGTATATGAAAATTGGATATCGTGTTGAAATACGTTTACAAATATGCGTATGCTGTTATCGTTATATAAATTTTATGCGATGCAAATACAGTTTTCACGCGCAAAGCTTATCCGGTAATTATAGAGTAAATGCCATTCAAACGAAAGCGAATTTTGCACGATGCAAATGCAATTTTCGTGCACGGAGAAACTCAACCTGTAATTACAGAATGAATCCTACCTAAACTAAATCGGATTTTATATAATGTAAATGATATTATGGGACCCACGTAATTATGAATACTCACAATAGGTAATAAAGCCTAGAATTACGTTAATTAACTTCCTTAGAAATGCACAACGCTCCACGCTTCATGACGATACCGTGGCTACATATTATATCTACTATGAAAAATAGTCATCAAATAACGTATGTAATTAATATATAATTAATATATTAATCATGAAATCAAAATTACAACAATAAATATCGTAAAGCCACATATTAACTAATGTCAACATCGCGACTTTTAACCATGCAACCGAATCGGGATAAAATAATATTAAAATATTAAAATGCCCAGCGTATTGTATGTATTGATCGAATTAAAAATTTAAAAGCAAAATTTGCTTTTCAAAATTATCTATACGATGCTCAAGCATTTTTATGCTCCCATTGAAACAGGTGCGGTTATTTTTATATTTATTTCTTAATAATTTTCTATCGATATCTGATAAGTAAATTCCTGATACGGATAGATAAGCAAATTCTTCGCTATAAAAGATTTCACATATCTTCAACTTATTATACAAATAAAAAATTGTATCTTTACTTGTTATTATACTACAACTAAAATCCGATAAACAATTAATCTACCGTGTTATTGATTCACACTTGACCTTGATAAGTTTCATATAAAAAGAGATTAAATAATTAAGATACGTACAATTCAATATCTCTTCTGTTCCGATTTCATTCATCTCGAATATTACGGTTCTTTTGTTAACGTTTTATTTTATCTCCTTGTTCGACGCGGAAGTAAAAATGAGTTTCGCGTCACGAAATTCGCAATCGTGAGAATGGAAAGCGCGTTTTTCGACGTGAAGGCTAAATTATAAAAGCACGATGACGAGGAACGAACGGCCGACCGACCACGCGCCGCTCGTTTACTTCGTTCCACCTCCGAACAGGTTGTCGTGCGCACACTTTTGCAATGGAATCCCAGTTATTTCAAAGGCACGCATACGTACGCATGGCCCCGCGCGCGACTCGTTCCCGTTGCCCGAGATCGGCGTGCGTGCGTGCGTGCGTGGCCGCGCTGTGCCATGCTGTGCCGCACCATAACGCTACACACTACCGGAAAGTAGTGGATGAATACGGCTCGACATCATAAACTCACGCGTGCATGTCTTTACCTTTCCTAGATATTCTCAGTAAACACAACACATCCACATGTGCATTATGACTGTTTGCATTGGATCGTGTTACACGTAATAAAATGTTGAATACCGAGAGTTTGAGTTTAAACGCTCTCACAAGTACAGTCTTCAAATAATCGGGTATTATATATTACATGCACTTTTCACAAAATATTTATAATTTTACAAGTTACAATTTCATAGAAACTTAAAAAGTTTAGAAATTTATAGAACACTACATTTAACATAAAAAAATGTGAGACTTATCAAAATAGTAGATAAATGCCACAAGAAAAAATATTTAATTTAGAAAAATGAAAGATGAATTTAGAAGACAAATGAATGTTAATTTACAACATTTGACATCCGAGAAATGAAAATAAACATATTTTTATTCCACATTTATTTCCTATACCTGTAATTACTCGACATGTATAAATATAAAACTAGGTTTTGAAATTTGTTAATTAAATAGAAAAATCTTTCTTATTAATTATTTTGCAATTTAATTAATTTGATAAATTTTTGTATTTTGTATTTTATTATTTATTTCACAAAAATCGTTATCAAAAGTTAATATTTCAATATAATGGTATTAAAATATCATAAATAAACGAATAATTAATCATGTAGATAACGTAATACAATACATAAAATTTACTCACTTTCCAATGTCTCGTCGTTGCAATCAATTGACTCTGTCAATGCTCCGGACATACATATGGCACTAATTATCGTTTACGATACAACCGGTCAATTCATACGGCGCGATGCACTTTCAATGCGAAAAACAACGATTCAACAATATCAATCATTACAAACGCGAAACAATGCTATCCACAGAAACATTTGACATCGTGACAATATCTGATGAAACAGTATCGTAAAAAATACAAAACGTGAATATCATAGGCAGAACTAATTGTCATCACTTGCTTTCATCATTGACGATGCATTCGACAATCTCGACGCGCAATTACACAAATCTCAAATAAATAATAACAGTGATTGTCCGCAACTTCGCTCCACACTCTCGTTTTATGTGAGATACGTTTAACTTGAAAGACGGAGACGGTCATACTCGAAAGTTCAAAGACATGTTGAGATAGGTTAAGTTAGGTTAGGTTATGTTGCGCATTGACTTCTGACCTTCGATTTCTTATTGCACAATTCGACACTCGACACTCGACACTCCCGTCATTAACAAGATATGTCTAAGATTGATTTTGCGAATATCGAACGAGCGATAATCACGACGCCTGTACGCTCTAATTAACACTACACTGCCGGCTATTGATCGGTGCAACACTTCCGAGATGCGTATAAAAATTTCAAAAGCGGAAGCAACTTCATACCGATGCTCGATGATTCAATGCTCAATGTTCAAGCTTGATTTTGCGGATGCCGAAAGAATGCTAATCATAACCGTGCTCGCTACTTAATACTCCACGGCGGCTGCCCGTCTCGCTGAATTCAATATTCTCGACCTTTATTTACTGTAAAACTTACTTCGAACAAAAAAAAAACTTGCGTGAAACAGGACGACGGTTTCTCGTGGCCGATACTTTCGCCATCGTTCATGAACTAATGACCATTAGATAGGCAACTGTATTCTGGTGATAAAGTGTTTGAAAATTTGAAAATGGGGCAATTTCGTACCAACGCTCAAAGATAATAGGGAAATTCGTCCGACGCAACGAACACAATTGACTTTACAACTATCGAATAATCACAATTATGTAAGAAAAGGTAATTTCGCAACGATAATTGAAAATGCGATAAGCAACATATCTAATACGTATATCTAATACGACGCGAATATTTCATGTTATTCACTTACATCAAATTACACGTTAATTTTACACGCTCGTTTTATGTAAAGCGATATATATAATACCGCAATACTACAATACTGGCACGGTATCTCGCGGTACGACGAACAAAAGTTTTCCGCTCGAGAACGCCGAACGTTTTACCTTGTTTTACTCGAAAGCATCGTGAGGTAAACAAAACAAAGCGCTTGTGCGCCGCACACCGTGATCGCGTGGTAGGGATTTCTAGGAAAGGCGCGTCGCGAAGTCCTCCGGTCAAATATTCAACGCGTATACGGCAACACAATGCGTCGCTGTGGAGATAATATTACGAATATGAAGGAATTAATTTGTATTACACATATTTATATCGATACTCGCGCGACACTCCTGTTTTCGACGACGCACTGCAAAACGCAACGATATATTCTGAAGTATACGTCCTTTCGTGACGTCATATCGCGTTATCCGATTGGTCGGTGCACAAGGTACAT